ACAAATGTAACATTTGTGATATTGGGCTATATAAATAAACATTGATTGATTGATTGATTGATACTGCAATACGAAAACACCGAGAATGTTTGATGGAAGATATTTAAAGTTTAAACGCTTTCGTTATTATTTATTTTTAAGCATTTGTTAGACGCTTTTATCCAAAGCGGCGTACATACTCAATACTGTGGACAATCCCCACAGGAGCAGTTTGGGGTGAAGTGTCTCAGGGACACAACGACATGCTGACTGCAGTGGGGTTTGAACCTGTGCTCCCCTGATCCCAACACCAACGCACTATCCACTGCACCACATGCCTCCCGTAAGTCAATATTCATTTATTAAAATCTGTCCTCCCGGAAACAACTTAAAGGTGGGGTATGTAATTCACTTCAGAAACACTTTTTGTTATATTCCATGGAATGCTCTTAACATCCCGATAGCAATGAATATCTGAAGTGCTTTGACAAAGAATCCATTAAAGAATATCATCTGGAAGCCGTGGCGCTGTAAAAAGCACGACCAATCATCTGAGCCGGCCCGGCTAAAGTAACTGGATGGCCTACCTGCCTGTCAGCCTTCCATCTGTGCACAAACTTATCTGGTGCCCTCATTGGTCATGTGCGCGTTCGTGTGTGTTGGAGGAGGGGCTCTGTGAGGAAGGGGCAGATTTTTTCCGGCTGTGTATTTTCAAATTCTAGCGCACTCGAGCTGGTTTCTCCAAACTTACCTACCCCACCTTTAATGAATCACCATTTATAATCCAGCCGTATACAAACATGCGCAGTCCTTTTGTTTGTAGCAGAGTATTTGTATTTTGTGGTATTAATATTTTTACTGAAGTAAAGAATCTGAGTACTACTTCCACCCCTTGTTAAACTGGATTTGGCATTTTAGGCATCATTGTAATCAGTTTGCATCAGAATGTTAGCCTTTGCAGACCATTAACATGCACTAAACCCTACGGAAGAAACTACAGGAGAGGGAACACCACACAAATCAGAATAGACCCTCTTTAAAAGCTGCACGACGGCGGCATTCAGAGTCACATAATGCGAAACAAGTGACCTGTGAGGATCAGACGCTTCTTATAACGACATTCCTAATGCTTTAAAGACAGAAACGTGAAGAGATGACTTTTCCCAGGAGAGATATGAAAGCATGCAGAGATTTCCAGAACGTTTCATAGTCTTTTATTCATGGGAAGCTTGTGCTCTCAGTAGAAACATGTTCATTATGAGAAAAGACTCTCAGCCTGCGAGATTTCCCCCTCGTTAAAACAATATATCCTCTTTCTCATATCAGTGTAAACACGCGTGTCCTCGTCTGGGGAGAAAATAAAAAACAACTTGTAAAAGAACAATAACACAAAGATTTGAACTAACCAACAGTAGTTTTGTAGAAAGCAATCAGAGGAAGCATTTATTTAGAAACTTTATTTTCCACTTTACATTCTTTGTCTCCTCAAATCCAATTAATGTCCAATTAAAATGCCCTGAACGAACCATAACATATATAACACATTTACATCGAGGTCTTTCTTTACTGGGTTCAACACACCATGGTTTTACCAACATGTGAGGGTTATTAGAACAGATTGTGCACGTTTTGTAATCTTTTTTTTTTAGTGGTATAGTTACGAAACGGTTGTTATTCAAACACAACAAGCAAGATGAACCATTTTGCAATTAGCACCGTTACTGTGATTTATCTTTTAACTTAGGGATCAGCACCTTGTCCCGTTAGTAGTGACGAGCAGTTTTCGTAGAGCGAGGAATTTAGACGATGAGGTCTTTGTCCATATCCTCTGCAAACACAAAAACATTTCAAAAAATCATGAGAAAATTCACATTCTGATAAAAGGGAAATAAGGACTTTCATAAAGCGTAACAGGAGTGGTTAAAAATACTTATTAATACATAAAAAAAACACAAAAACGACCAAAATGTGCAAATGCAATATCTTACAAATGTAATCAAATTAATTAATCATTATGTATAATCACATTTTATGTATTAAACAAGTATTTTTTGTTAATTAAAGAACATACATATTTCTTCAGAATGGGCAGAAATCTGTGCAAATTAATATCTTACACATTTTATTCAATTCATAACTATTGACTTATTTTTAAATATTTTTAAGTTTGTTAGAGTTTTGATTATTTAAGGAGTAATCGGATAAAAAAACAATACATTTCAACAAAGTAAAATCTACACATAGTTTTTCCAATGCATGAAAATTAAGCCAAAAAAAACGAATTTTTAAACTTTTTTCTTGTGATATTTTTCTCTGTTTTCCATTAAAGAACAAACAATACCTAATATTCCAATTGTTGCTTTTCATATCGTCTTTAACAGTGAATGTATGTAACTCTGATGTACTATAGGAACTGTAGCCAATTAAAGTAAGAAATCAAATATGTTTAAATAGTATTAAAGTACTTCTTGGTGCAGTTTAGCTATGCTTTTTGCATTGTATTAAACGTGATGTTTCTGTTGTTTGGTGATCCTCTCCATGCACACGGTGGATACTCACGCTCTTTGATGCCGAAGCAGTTGGACCACTCCTCCAGGGCGATGTATTTATCGTTGTCGGTGTCGCATTCCTCGAAGAATCGGGTTGTGCAATGCTCCATCGGGATGAGAGGGGCGCGCAGGGGGGAGAGCTCAGAGTGGGTGAGGTACCTGCATCACGAAATATAATGAAATATGTCAGAAACACTGAAGACACCTTTCATTTTGGTCTCACAAAGTCACTTTTTCCAGAGTGGGTGAGCTACCTGCAGAGATACAGTAAGCTGAGATGCATCCTGAAATATTATCCAATAACTTTGTATTTCTTTCATGTTGCCATAAAATACATCAGTGAATGAACAGAAGTACTTTATGAGCTGAGGAGTTGTCAAAAGCTCACGAGGAAACAGAAGCCATTAACTTTATATTTGATTATATTAAAACAAGTGAAGCAAGTAAATGATCTTCAGTCTGCTCCTCGACCAATGATAATCGAGATGGACTAATAATAGCCATGTTCGCTTTTTTATATTCTTGATGATCATTTCCAGGGAGTGACTTTGCAGGAATGAGTCCTTAGCCCCGGGAGTTAGTCAGCAATTTAGCACTTCTGATTTGCTCGCTTCGAAGTCAATGGTTTATAAAAAAATGTGTTTTTGTTAGTTATCCTAAAATAAGGTCTGCGGTTTACACAAGCTGAAGAGATTTAACGTTGTGTTCTACGACATAAAATAGGTCAAATACCCCACTGGTGAAAACAGCGGTTGCTAGCAAGTGTCTAAATGAGACGAGTAAACGTCATCACGTCCAATTTTAGCCACCTTTAGCTTAGCGTTGGTGACGTGAAGTCATGTGACCGTGCTGTAGTTCCTTTATAGCCCAACATTAGCCACCTTTAGCTTAGCGGTGGTGACGTGAAGTCATGTGACCGCTATAGTTCACACAGGGGATAGG